CGGGGCGAGGCGAGGCGGGGCGAGGCGGGGCGGGGCGGGGCGAGGCGGGGCGAGGAGGAGCGTCATGTCACGCTACTGCTCTTCGCAGGGCGTAAGTCTGTGGGCCGAGCGAAGCGCTGCGGTGCCTATTGAATGGATAACAAACACTAAGCGCCGTGGGCGACCCCGGTTTTCAATTTTTTTTATTATTGTTTTTCCTGAGAGGGGGTCGAAAAAATCGTGCACTGTTAAAATCCTACTCCAAAATGCTTTGCAATTGCGAAGGATTTTGATCCTTTGTAACTACGAATGAGATCGTTATTACACATGTGATAAAACTTTATAAAAATGGCTGTAACTATAGTGTAGAGGAAACGGGAATTGAGGAAAAGAAAAGATGATGTGCGCGGTTTGCAGGGTGTTGCGGTAGTTGCAAGTCTGGGCGAGTGGTCAGCGAACTATGTATTATTCTCCACACAACCGAGCTCTGTGACGGGCGGGTACATGTGATAGAGAACGGACGGTGCGGTGTTCCGCGACTGTTACTCGCTGGTTGCCAAAATCGGTTGCAAGTTGCTCACTTTTAGGCGTTAAAACAGCCTCTGGTTGTACGTATATTTCAAATTTTCGATTTCCGCGATCAATCCTAGCCTACCCATCATACTTAATCAGCACAGCAAAATATTTCCCCCCCTTCCACAATAATCTGCGCTGCAGCGACGCGCCCGCCGTCCTCTCGATCGCCTCCCCCCTCGCTTGCTTTTCACCCTGCGCGGTGGAGACGGATTGGAATACATTTACGTTAGAAAAAGCAACGCGGCGCTGCAGCAGCGCGTCGCCGGAATATAAAAGTTATAAGTTGGTTTATCATGGGAGTAATTCAATAGCAGATGATGGTGGTGTGTGTGTGCGCGCGCACGAGAGAGGGAGAGGGGGGGGGATGTAAGGGGGTGACCTTGCAGCAGTAAGCGTGTGTAAGTGGTGATGTAACCAAAGATTAACCGAACTTTGGGCGAAGCGTCGGCGGTGGTTTGTTGCGCGTGGTGTGGGGTGGGGGTTGACTATATAACTGCACTATCAGGTTATCCGCCCGGATTAGGCACGCCCTGGTGGCTCCGTACCATGGAGCTGCTGCCGTGCTACACTGTGGACCTTTTCCGCGCCGCTTTTATATTTTCCCGCTCTTTTGGGCTTGCGCCTGGCGCTCCGTGCGCTCCGTGTGCAGGGGCGGCACGCAGCCAGCGTGTTTGCGCAGGACTTACCGTATGTGGCCCGAATAACTTAACAGTGACAAGCCCTTTCGACAGGCGGAGCTTTTCCTACGAGAGCAGAGTGCCTGATGATCTC